TATTAGAATTCCAGTATAAGCATTACAGAAAAGACAGGCGTAAAAATCTGTAGGTATTCAGAACAAAAGTTTGTCCCTAATATCAAAGTTAATACTTGAAAAAACTTGATGAACTCACCGGTTTTTACCGGTCTGAAAATAATTTTAGACCGGCCGGTGACTGACCGGACCGGACCGGTCTAGTATTTCCAGACCGGTTACAACTCCGATGCATGGCTGGTATCTCATGTTGAGCCAATGAAACAAACAAAGTTTATTATAGAACAAGAGATTCTATACATAAGTTCACAGTATATGTATCTACTGTCGTAAAATTTGTACGGTTATGATATACTGTTTCAAATTGCCAAAGACGTGTTGAGATCTGCCTAGCCTAAAACTCTTTGATAACAACCTCCCTCTATCTAACATTTTTCATCTTTTACCTAGCTTGACTGTACAGTTAACTGATCGGTTGAAGCTAGCTCCACTAACAGCTAGTTGGACCGATCGGTTGACTGCCCGGTTAACCTAGTAGACAACCTCCATCTGTCTAACATATTTCTTCCTTTACCTAGCTTGACTGTACAGTTAACTGATCGGTTGAAGCCAGCTCCACTAACAGCTAGTTGGACCGATCGGTTGACTGCCCGGTTAACCTAGTGGGCAACCTGTCATAATGTGAAGAGCTAGCTTAACCGTTCGGTTCTAGGTTGGACCACATATTGAGAAGCTAGCTCACCCGGGTAGGAAACCGATCTACCTAGCTTAACTGCCCATTCCTAGCTCATTTTTTTTGCCGAAAGCAGACATCATTTTTGATTCCACAAAGAAAATAATTTTGTCTATTGTCTATTTTAATGTTCTGTTGAACTTATTGAAGTATTCTTTCCGTTTGAGTGTTAAATTTCGTACTTCATCTACAGTACTTTTTTCGTTTTGTTCGCTACATTTTTGAGAGAATAAAATAAAGATAATGTTTTTTACAAATAGGTAAACACGACTGAATTTTTCGAAACTAAGAAATGCTTTCAGATTTAATGTTTTTTTCAAATATTCAGAAATTCGTTTTTTTCAGATTCAGAACTCAGTGGATAATTTTCTTATGGCTTCCAAAAAAAGGAGCAAGATATTTTACAACCTTATATAATAATGTGATCATATAAAGTATGATACTGTATCTTTTATTCGTTTCTTTCTTTCGAAAGTTATAATGAGATAAAATGAAATAATATTTAATACATCTACGTAATAAAGAGTTGAGAATCTTTTTCATTTCTTTTTGCAAAATTAAGAGAAAAACGTACTTAACCAAAATGGCAAGTTTTGTAGCAAGAATATAATAGCAATAGAATGCTTTAGATTGAATCGTTCGTCCACGCTTCCTTTAAGTGTTTTCCTCCTCATTTCTTGTATTATTACAGAATACTAACTACTGGCTATTGTTTTGTTTTCTTTTAGTTCCATAATGAGTAATTTACAAATTGTTGTGAAGCTAGAGTGACACCGTAGTTGAACTCACAACCAAATAAAAATGAAATCTTATATACTCAAAAGATACCACGAATAATAACAGATGAAACAAACGAACAGCAACAGTAGAAGCTTGAAAATTTTCTTATTATTTACCTTGATTCAAATTTGAATAATAATGAAACATTATTCTTTATTGTACACTTGATAGTTGTATTTATCATTTATTAAACAAAGTATTGAGAGTACAAGACATCGATACAATGTATAAAATGGAGCTTATTATCAAAGATCTTCATTTACAATTGAATCAATTATATTCTTCACAATTTTTATCAATACCAACAACATTAGCATAGATCGTTTATCGTGGGCAAGCAATTTTGAAAGGAGAATTTGAAAATAATATTAATGAACTTTTATCAACAACTATTGATAAATATGTAGCATCTCTTTATGCAGTAACAAATGAACGTTGCTTTTACTGAAGTTTATGACGACTATTATTCGATTATCCTTCGAGAGCAAGCCATCTCTTCAGTTTCTCTTACCACAAAAATCATTCCTTCCCTTCGATGTGCATCTGTCAATGAACTAGAAGTAGAAGATGAAACAGCAGAAGTTAAGGAAAATTATCTAGCCTATAGTTCATATTACCCTAAATTAAAACAACCTGATGTTTTAAAAACACTTGAAGATATACATGATAAAAATGTGATTGCTCCAGTAGATACAGCAAACAAAAATGCTCTGACAATATGTAAGGAGAGACTGTTAAACGACAATTGGATACCATATTCCTTCAAACACGCATGAAGTGTATAGAAACAAAAAGTATTGAAAGTTGTGGATGCCACTTTCCATATGATGAATATTATTTTAGCATAAAAGATAATGTGAAACATTACCTTTACGTACTGGATTCCAAAATTTCATAAAAAGTTTTCAACAGTTTCTGACCAAGGTCGTTTAAGACTTCTCTGTGACACGTACTGATTGTGGCATATTTTGAGCAAAAAATTAAGATCAATATAATTTGAGATGGAAACAGTTAGTCTATAAAGTAAACACTTAAATGAGCTTGAAAGGTCTGTTTTGAGTCTCCCACATCATTCTAAGTTGCATAGAGGCTGACCTTGACTTTATTAGAATTAGAAAGATTTCGATTACTCGAGCTTTTTACAGTTTATCTCTGCTTATTAATCTTATTATCATCTTTTATTATCATTATTATCACCTGTTATTATTATTATTATTATTATTATTATTATCATCTCTTATTGCCTTTTTTATTCTTTTATCTTTTATTATTTAGTTTATTTTACTTTTTACTTTTATTTTTACTCTTTTTTTTGTTTTTTCAACATTAATAAATTTTCGCAATAAAATTCATATAATTTATCAACACTGTATGATTGACGAACGGAACTATTTTTTGTCTGTGAGAGACTGTGATATTGGAGTCTCGTTACAATTTTTTAATGGAAATTCTTTTTCTAAATTTTTTATATTTTATTTTTATTCTTTTCTTCTCTCAAACAAACAGGGACAGTCTTGTTCATGAAATCTTGTTCTGTTCTGAGAAGCATGGCGTGTTCGAAAAAGTGTTCTTTTTCATTCCATTTCAATCGCATGTTGCAGTGGAAAGATAGAAAAGAGAAAAAGACGACGATAAGAGCTTCACTAGCAAATACTGTCATATCGCTCACAGTTGTAGTTGACTGAATTTGTAATAGGTACTTATCGAAAAAGAAAAAGAGACGGTCGCACGTGCATCCATTGCTCAAAACTTCCTCAACTACATACAATTCCGTCATGACTACCCAAACGGTCGACAAGTTAATTGATAGTGCTCGCGAATTACTTGAAGCTAACGAGTATCTCGAAGCGCGTGCATTGTATACCCAAGCACTTGCACTGGATCCGTTCGACGCTAAATTATGGAATTACCGATCAAATGCTCATATGAAGCTCGGATACCCAGAGTTAGCTTTTACTGATGCCGCTCGCGGACTTCAGCTTTTGGATGATTCACTTGCCAGAACCACCTTATCTCAGAATGATCGTAATTTCTCAATCTGTCTAAAAGTAGACGTATTGTATAGTTGCCTTCTCGCCGCTGAAAACTTGAACGTTTTTCAAACGGCGTTACATTTCATCGGGCGATTGTTGACCAACTCGCACTTGCTCTCCGACGAAGCGCGCAAAATCATTCTGGAGAAACAGGCTTTATTCAAAGACAAGATAAATACCGGTTTAATTCACCCATTGGGAATAGACGTCCTGGAGCTTGGTACCATGTGTGTGATGAAATATCCATGGGATGATTTTGAACCCTTCAGTTCAGAGGTCGACGCAGAAACTCAATTGAAGGAAATAAATATTATGTTTGAACGATTTGCTCCGAAATTGTTGATTGTCCGCATGTAAGTTTTTCTCCTATCGCCTTCTAGAAATTCGTCTTCTTCTTTTGTAGCTGCTTGATCAGATTGTTTTCAGTAGTTAGAGCAAGTGGTCCTAATTGTGCCCCAAAAAATTCACTTCGGATAGACGAGAACGAGCTAATAGAAAACAGAACTATTTTTTTGTCTGTGAGAGACTGTGATATTGGAGTCTCGTTACAATTTTTTAATGGAAATTCTTTTT